CCCCCCCCCCCCCACACAAAAACAAAGGGAAAACATCAAATCAAGAAAATACAGCCTCAGATCTCAGATCTTAATCACACTAAAAATGTAAAAAATGCGACGAAATTCTGAAAACCTAGGCGCTTGATTAGCTAACCTAACATGTTTTGGATCAGATCCAGCGATTTTACACTGGGAGCGATTAGAAAACGTACCATTTTCGCGAATGAGGAGATAAAAAACCCTAGGAATCTAGGGTTTCTGGATCGAGAAATGAAACGATAACGGAGCGGGGTTTCAGGGTGGTGCTGGTGAATCTCGAGAGAAGAATCGTTGAGATGGAGAAGAGAGAGGAGGTGGGAAACAACAGTGAAGAAATAATAAGTAGTAACTCAAGACGAATGGGCTCTTTTACACATTAGCTCCTCTTCAATATTATTATTATATTAAATTATGAATTTGATGTACCAAGAGTTAGCCTAATTTAATTAAGGGGACAAATTTTCAAAACCAACCCATTTAACTATTTAATTGCAAAAAACGACCTCTTTCTATTTTATTTTGAAAAACCGACCTGGTTTCAGCACTGTCGCTGAAACCAGGTCGGTTTTTCTAAAAAAATATACGAAACTTCACGGGAGTTCAACTCCCGTGAAGTTTACCACTCTTTTAATCTTCACGGGAGTTGACCTCCCGTGAAGATTATTTTCCTGAATAAACTCCACGGGAGTTCAACTCCCGTGGAGTTTGTTGCGATATTTAAAACTCCACGGGAGTTCAACTCCCGTGGAGTTACAGGCCAAATTTCCCAGAGAATCGCTCTCTGGGAAATTTAGACTACAACTTCACAGGAGTTGAACTCCCGTGAAGTTGCAGGTTTTACAGAACATGCACAGCCTGCTGTGCATGTTTTGTATACCTCTACTTATTTAACTCATATATACAACTATTTACCTGTTGACAATAATTACTGTAATATATATATTATTTAAACACGCACGAATCAAACAATACGCAAAAAGATCACATATCGAGCTATAATTGATCCATAAAAGTATAGTATTTGAAAATTCATACAATTTACAAATTTTAACAAAATAAGTTCAAATACAACCCAATATAGCTCCTCTCCTTCCTCTCCCTCTCTTCCCCCTCCCCCTCGCTCTTCCCCGCCCCCCGAATGCTATCAAAAGCACGGACCTGTGAGGTAAATAATTTATTAAGTACCAACTCAAGAAAAAATATTATAATTTAGCTTAGAAACTTACGTAATCTCTCTCGTTCATCCCACTAGGGATGTAACTGTCTGTCGGTGGCCGTGGCATGTGTCCAGCTAAGGACTGTGGGTCACGTGTGATCCATCTATGTGTGATACCCTAATACCAACCCATATACGCGGTATAGTCAACAGTTGTGGGCCTCGTATCCTGGATGAAATCCCACCTGTGAGCCCACCTATCTATGTAGGCCGCACGGACTACGGCCCAGTCGGTATGGTGCGAAGTAGGTCGCCGCCGACGAGAGATCTGCTCGACAGGATCTGGCACATGCTGAGAGAGCGTAAACTGTCGTAGCACACGGTCAGGGACATGCATCTCCACGATCTCCCAACAAATCAATGGAACTCTCGCTCTCCACAAGTCGGGACTATCTCGGCAGATGGGTGCAAGAGAATGCATATCCAGCTCCGGCGGTGTATAGGGTCTCCACTTGAACTGAAATAAAATAAAAAATTTATCAGTATCAACAACAAAACTATAATATTCATAACGACTTGAGATTTATATTTACCTGTTCGTGTTGGAGACCATCAAGCTCATTTCGGTAAAACTCACGATGGCGCGTCGCTGTTCGGTACTTAGCGTACCGCACGACCTATATGCAGAATAGAGAATATATAAGTACAAATTCAGTGCGAATAAAATTTGTGTGTACAATTATACCTGTACGCCAAAGGAAACCGCCCTTGTAGGTCACGGTGCACGAGTAAAGTAGGGCGTCCAATATGAATGCGCTCCCATGACCAAATCTGTATCAATGTGCAGCATCCCTTGAATTCTTTATTCTGCATCAGGGATACTCTACTCAGTTCTCGATACAAGTATGCCAACACCGCACTGCCCCACGACAGTGCGCCGCATACGTCAAAATCCTCCAGCAGTGACAGCCATCGTGCATGTACGAGAGTCTTGCTCGCATCCGGAAAAAGCACGCACCCTATCATGTGCAATATGTATGCACGAGCATGAAACTGAAGCGTCTCCATACTGGCATCCTCTGGTATGTCGCCCTGAAATGTCTGACGAAGCCACGATAGCTTCATCGCACCACTCCTCCCGCCCCCCGCGCTGATGAGCCTCGACTATCTGAGTATCCGGCTGTGTATGAGGCTGCGAAGTGCCGACTCCATCAGCATGCGAAGTGTCGTCGTCATCGTCACGTGGCCGTCGGCGCCGAGTGTACGCCTGCCCAAATGATCGAGACCTGTCCTCACGGCCTGCGAACTCGTCGACGTGAGTCTTATGAAACACATGTGCTATGGTCTTCTTGATCCTGCTGAGGAGCCCTAACGCCACCTGATCCTGAATCTCAGGCACGGTCGCATTAATATCAGCCTCAATGCTATCTAAAACACGGACCTGCGTGGTAAACAATTTATTAAGTATCAACTCAATAAAAAATATTATAATTTAGCTTAGAAACTTACGTAATCTCTCTCGTTCATCCCACTAGGGATGTAACTGTCTGTCGGTGGCCGTGGCATGTGTCCAGCTAAGGACTGTGGGTCACGTGTGATCCATCTATGTGTGATACCCTAATACCAACCCATATACGCGGTATAGTCAACAGTTGTGGGCCTCGTATCCTGGATGAAATCCCACCTGTGAGCCCACCTATCTATGTAGGCCGCACGGACTACGGCCCAGTCGGTATAGTGCGAAGTAGGTCGCCGCCGACGAGAGATCTGCTCGACAGGATCTGGCACATGCTGAGAGAGCGTAAACTGTCGTATCACACGGTCAGGGACATGCATCTCCACGATCTCCCAACAAATCAATGGAACTTTGGCTCTCCACAAGTCAGGACTATCTCGGCAGATGGGTGCAAGAGAATGCATATCGAGCTCCGGCGGTGTATAGGGTCTCCACTTGAACTGAAATAAAATAAAATATTTATCAGTATCAACAACAAAACTATAATATTCATAATGACTTGAGATTTATATTTACCTGTTCATGTTGGAGGCCATCAAGCTCATTTTGGTAAAACTCACGATGGCGCATCGCTGATCGGTACTTAGCGTACCGTACGTTATACCTATATGCAGAATAGAGAATATATAAGTACAAATTTCGCTGATCGGTACTTAGCGTACCGTACGTTATACCTATATGCAGAATAGAGAATATATAAGTACAAATTCAGTGCGAATAAAATTTGTGTGTCGTACGTTATACCTATATGCAGAATAGAGAATATATAAGTACAAATTCAGTGCGAATAAAATTTGTGTGTCCAATTATACATGTACGCCAAAGGAAACTGCCCCTGTAGCTCACGGTGCACAAGTAAAGTAGGGCGTCCAATATGAATGCGCTCCCATGACCAAATCTGTATCAATGTGCAGCATCCCTTGAATTATTTATTCTGCATCAGGGATACTCTACTCAGTTCTCGATACAAGTATGCCAACACCGTACTGCCCCCACGACAGTGCGCCACATACGTCAAAATCCTCTAGCAACTGTTCGCGGTGAAAATTACCTTCATTGAATTCATCGTTATCTTAAGTAATTGATTTTTTTTTTATTACAAAAGATCCGGTCTTTTTTAGATCCGGTTACAACGAAATCAAAGAAAATAAAAAAGATTACAACTTTCTCCTTTAGAACAAATCGCGAGCTCCTGTTTTGCGGTCGCTCGCTTGTGTGGGTTCTTTGCCAACGCCAGGGTTAATCCGTGGACCACCGCGCGATCTAGATCTAGTCGGATCTACAGGATTCGACGGGTATTATTTCACGAAGGAAATAATAGCCGGGGGGGATTAGTTCACCAAGGAAATAATCGCCCTTAGTTCTCAGGATCAAAGGCCAAGCTTTGATCCGGAGTGTGATCTCGTATAGATCTCAGATCTGATCTTTACCTCTCTCGAACTCCTGCCTTTTGTGACGTGGACGCTCGCCGAGAATCAGATCTGAATCTTCAAGTCCTCAAGTCTTCAAAACTCTGAGCTCAATCTTCAATTCGGCAGAGTAACGGCTCTCAAAGTTCCAACCCTTTCAAATGAACAAAGGGGGGGCCTATTTATAGGCTCTCTGAACTGTGCCCGCGCACAGATCTGGGTCGGCCACCTATGGGTGGCCGGCACTGGGCCAAGCCACCCATGGGTGGCTCGGTCTTGGCCGAGCCCCCCTTGGGTTTTGTCGTTTTGTCGTTTGTTCCGTGATTCCCGTTGTGCGGTTGATTTGTCTGATTTGGCAGTCGATCCGAATCCTGATTTGGCAGTAAATCCACTTCTGAGTTCGAGTCCGAAACTGATCTTGATTAGATCGTGATTCGTCCGAGTCTGCCCTTGGTTGGATGACTCATTGACTCTTAGAACCCTTGGCTTGATTCCGCACGTGAATGGATGCATTCCGTTGCTCGCGTGCGATTCGTTGACCTCGTTGGCTCGTCACTCGATGGTTTGTCGAATCACCGCGCCGAGCTATGCCAAGGGACTTATAAGCAATTTTACATGCCTACAGATACCCCCTCCAAAGTATTTCAGCCTCGTTCTTTTATAGAAGAGTCTGGAATACTTTGGATATGAATGTTCCAACCTTCAGTCGGTGTAACGGGACCTTGGAATGGCTTCTGTTCTTGATTCCTTCAATCCTTCAGGCTATTCGGTGCTTTGTCGAATATCTGAAAGGGTTTCGGTGCTGCATTTATTGTCTGACCGTTGTCGGAATTTCGAATTTGAAGTTGGTTCCTAATTTTCTGATCTTTAGCTCGTGCTTGTTGGTTCAACATAGAACTGACCATCGATTGTTGGCATTGAGTCTTTATTTTGCGACGCGTTGTCCGGCGTAGTATTGTTGAGTTATCCTTAAGAATATTTTCAGAAAAATATCCTCCAGGAACTTCTCAACAAACAATAATAGGGAACAGTTTATACTCATATACCTTATTGGAGTATTTTCTGTGGCCGAATGAGCTGAACCGGCTTGATAATGAGCCAAAAAAGGCAGTAATTAGGCTCAAAAAATTTCTGATCCTTCCGAATATGTGGGAGAGGTAAGAATAAACCAAGGACTAAACTCTCGGTCGATTTGAAGTTGTTTCGATGCTCGATCCAGCTTCAACTTGAATTCTGGTTCAAAAC